GTGACGTCGAGGATTCCGGGCAGCGATTTCTCTTCCGTCGACTCTCCAGCACCATTGCCGATTTCCTGCTGCGATTTCCTTTTCTTTGATCCCTTCTTCTTGGTCAGCTCTCCAGCACCGCCACAGATTTCTTGCCGCGATTTCTTTTTCTTTGAAGTCTTCTCCTCAGTCGACTCTCCCGCACCATCAATGATCTCCGGCTGCAATTTCTCCTTAGAAGCCTTCTTTTTCTGTGATTTTTGTGTCCGTAAACCCTTCATCTTGTTCTCTCCGGCGGTATCTTCGTCTCGATCTCGAGGAGCCATAATGAGAGAAATGGAAGTGAAGTGCAGGAGCGGTAGAATAAAAGACGGTTATACATTCAGTGAATGGTGACAGGGTGACATGTTGCGTGTGCGAGAAGAAGAAAGGGTGCGAATGAGACGGTGCCAGCGTGACAAGAATTCAACGAAGGAAATCGTGTGATGGACAAAAGTAAAAAAAAAAAAAATATATATATATATATATATATATATACACTCCATAAATTACTTAATAAGTTGTTTTTTTTTTTGATATTAAGTTGATTTTATTTTTAAATGAACTATGAATTTTTTTTAATGATAAAAAAGAATTATTTAATGAGAAATTATTACTAATAAATAGAAAAATCAGTGATATTATAATATACTTTAAATTATTAAAGTCTGAAAATATTTTTAATTAATAAGTCTTTAAATATATTTAAATAAAAAATAGTGTACACTGTATCAAACTAAAAATAAATAAAAAAACCCTTTAATTAGAAGTAAGTCCTCTAATATTGAATTTTTCTCCTCATTTAATAACTTTAATTTTATAGTTTAATATAATTTAAAATACAAAATAAAAAAATTCTATTTAAATATTTTTATAATTTAAGAGTAATTTGAGGCTCGAAAAGAAATTTTCTATTATTGAACATCCTTTTTAGCACTGAAGATGATTATGCTGGTAAAATAAATATACAATTCAGTTTAAGTTATACCCAATTTTATTATACTAATTAAATAATTATATTTTATAATATAATATAATTTAAATTATAAAACATAATTCCAATACTAATATTTCACATAAGAACACAATCTCAACAACACTTTGATGTGTAAATTTTTGAAGTAATTGAGGTTTTCCTTTTTATATCTTAAGCCAATAAAATACTCAAAATGCAATTTAAAACTCTCTAAAATGTATTGCGTTTGTGCTTGCTCTGATGAATTTTCTATAAACGTGGGTAATTATTTACAAAAAGAAAAGAAAAGAAAAGAGTAACCCTGTAAGATGGGTTATAGTATTAGAGTAATCTCCCTTTTATTAAAGATTATAAATTGCATAGTTGTCTATTTCAATAACTATTTCAATTATTTATACTTAAAGATTGTACATATATGCTTCAAGATTGTTAAAATTATATAAATACTATAACCTGAATTGCAAGAAAATGGATGGATTAATCTAGAATTTGCAATTCTTAATACAACTTGGAAAAAGAAAAAAAAAGCAAGCAATGGTTTTATGTGTCTTCTTAGCACCACATATAATACAAGTTAGATTAGGCAACCACTTTCGTGGCCCAATAATACGTGCTTAGTAGTATGGCAGCCGGATCACAAACATTAATCCTTATTCTTAGTATATAGTTATAATGTATAATTACCTTATTTTCCTTTAAAAAAAAAAATACGAGTTAGATTATAGGTTAGCAAGAACCTAGAAGCCCAACAATAAAGTGGGTGGAGGAGGGTGGTCATTTTCTCACCCGGCTCGCTAGTGTTCTAGGCCTTTGCAATCCCCATGTCCCATTTCTAAAGTCCCCAATTGTGCAAATTCCCTGTACTGAAAAAAAAAAAAAAAAAAAAACATAACCAAAACAGAAATCCCGTTCCAGGCATCCTGCCACTGCTTTCAACCCCCTAGCAAAATGTAAAAAATAATAATAACCGAAATATTTGACCAAAAAAGGTTAAAAAATTTTCAACATAGATGTTGAACCATTTCAATGTTTGTTAATCATCAAAAAAAAAAAAAAAATCCCTGCGATGACCATTATGTTATGGCAAGTCTGTACGTGGTGCCTTATACTAAGTGCTAAATATAAAATTCCTGTAATAACCTATGTGACATGAAATTAAGAGTTCTTATTTTTATTAAAAAAT